GAGTCCGCGCTCACCTGGGAAAAAGGAATCGCTGGACTCTTCGACAACCCGTGAAATCAGTTTAACTCGAAGTTGTCGTAACCTCAGTGCTTTAATAAAATGAGAAATTTCGCCGGTCTATTGAAACCGGTCGTTTGTACAATTTAGGGAGTTTAAGATCCAACGACACGGACGACAACTAGAACGTCAAAAAAACAATAGGTTTAATTAGCAAAACAACAACTTCGCACGTGCAACACACTTTTTTGTTCATTTCTTTCCCGTTTTTGCACGACTACGACGTGAAAATACCTAATTTCGCGTTTTATGGAGGACGTAAATAAGCAACGACGAAATTTTATTTCTCTTTCTGAGCTTGAATATGGTCCCTTGAAATTCAGCTTTAGGAGGGTTCGCCTACAATTGACAAAGTAAGTGGGCAGGAATAATCGCTATAAAGACTGAAAAAAATAAACATCAAACCAGAAATTACTCTCTTCAAACCGTAAATTATAAATGATCCTGAGAGAATATTCAGTGTGTTAAGGATTTCCTTGCTCTACTGCTAGCTCTATACAAGAGAGGAAGGGCGATTCCTTTTTTAATTTCGGTTTCGCTGACACAGCTTTCGCAGAAATCTCGCTGTAGTCGTTTTCGTCGACAAAAGGAATAGCAAAATCGCTCTCCGCGTCTTCCCCTATTTTGTTCTGCGTCATTTCGTGAAGGACGCGTGGCTCTCAGCGTGGGTCATCCACGCAGAAAACATTCGCGCTATGTGATTGGCTGTTGTCTAATCCCCCTTGAGATCTGTGGTGTTAAAAATAACTCGAGACGAATTACCTATGGAATAGGGTGTATATAGGGGATGCCCTCTCTGTCCCCTTTATAGTCTCTTGGTTCGTAAGCATTCGTTCTTCCTTTATAATTATCAAATCTTAACTTTGATTCTGCTTTTCAATTCTACATGACTTAGATACATGTATTAGACTACAAAAATGTCATTTTTACATAATCGAAAAATCTACATTTTTTCAAAGTTTGGTCAAAAATTCGAAATTTCTTTCGAGTCTGCTTTTCTTTAGCCTGCTGGGAAAGGGATTTTTAGACGCGAGAGAAACGCGAGGGGGCGCGCGTGGTCTCGCGCCCTAATTCCCTTTCCCTTCCTTTTCGAACGCCTGCCACGCAGGCTAGTTTTTCTTTGAAAACGGCCTAAACACGTATTTTTATGATGTTGTTTATAGAAAAGGAAGCTTTTTAGACTATAAAAATGTCATTTTCACATAGTCGAAAAATTTGTGTAATGTGATATTGTATTTGAAAAAGATTCTAAAAAGCCTCCTTTTTAAAAGAAGGCTTTTTAGACTTTAAAAATGTCATTTTCACATAGTCGGAAAATTTCCATTTTTCCATTTTTCCATGATTTTGGGCAAAAATTTAAAGTTTCTTTCGTGTCTGCTTTCCTTTGAGAGAGGCCTAGATATGCATTTTTATAATTTTTTTTTATAAAAAAGAAGGCTTTTTTAGCTATAAAAATGCCATTCTCAGATAGTCGAAAAATTTGCATTTTTAGTTATTTTTCATTTTTCCAAAGGTTTCCCATGATTTTGATCAAAAATTTGAAATTTCGTTTGAGTTTGTTTTTCTTTTCAAAAAAATGCCTTGACATGTATTTTTATGATGTTGTAGGTAAAAAGCGTGCTTTTTAGACTTTCAGATAGTCAAAAATGTGCATTTCCCCCATGATTTCGGTCAAAAATTCGAAATTTGTTTCGAATCTGCTTTTCTTTGAAAAAGCCCTAAATATGAATTTTTATGGTTTTGTTCATAAAAAAAGGCTTTCTAGACTATAACGTGATTGTGTAACGAACGCCTAAAGAACGTCTGCGTGGGAGGGTTACCAAAATCCGCCATTTTAAGGGAGATTTGCGCATGACTTTTCAAAGGAATCCGCTAAAGCAAAGTATCTCACATTCATAAATCATTTAATAAAAAAAGGGGAGAAATGATGGTTTGACGAACGCCTAAGAACGTCTGCGTGGGAGGCTACAGGTAGAAAGGTTATCAGAATTAATGAAATGATCCCTAAAGAGAAAATATGCTTTGATCTTTTAACAAATTATCTCAACCAATTTTTCAAGAAATGTATGCAGGCCAGTCTGGAGAATTTGTATGTCGATCGAGGTGTTTAAAGGGTTAAGACATGAGAAGCAAATTCTCACCTTCTTCCATGCTCCAGACGTAGTTAATCGATATGAAGCGATATCGGAAATCACTCGATATCATCAATATTAATCGATTTAATTCACCGATTAATATCGATTGATATCGGAAATCGATAGAAATCAAAGTCAGAAAAAATAATTATTATCGATTAACAAAATCGATAACAATCGATAGGAATCTATAAAAAATCGTTATCGATTTCTATCGGAAAATTATCGATAGTAATCTTCGATGAAAAGAAACTAAATCAACGCCTTCTTATGCATGGTAGAACTGAAGTACTGTCAAAATACCGCCTTCTATTAAGCCGAAACCGTCCTAAACGATTGTTGTCGGCAAATTCCGTAATGCTATAAGAGTTTCCGAATCTTCCGAATCTTAGTAACTGATCAGAAGAGGAATTATGCAATTTGTTAGACAAGTAGATATCAGAAAAAAGAGATTGTTCCCCGCCAGGATCAAACTCCTTAATAAAAAAACACAGCAGCCACAAGATAATGGCTGACCGTGGCTGGGTGCTTGTGGTGCCTGATGCCTGCCCTTCAGGGGCGGATCCAGGATTTTTTTTAGGAGGGGGTGCACTCGTCTCTTGCTCTACTTCAACACCAATAAACCACATAGTTGTTTTTCTTTTTTTGCAGAATACCAGTTGTATTAGAAAACCGCAGGTCATCAGGGGGGGGAGGGGGGTGCGCACCCCCTGCACCCTCCCCCTAGATCCGCCCCTGCCCTTTTTGCTGCGGTGTCAACCTAGCTGTTGAACAGCCCACCACCAAACCTTACAAAATCCAGAAGAGCCAACATGCATTCTCATTCAGTTATCATACTGACTGTTTCTCTACAATTGTTGTGATCATCAATCCTCAAGTGCTTCCTAGATGTCTGTAAATCTTGGATACACAACTTATATACTAAGTCAGTGCCCAAACTGACTAGCTGTTCTTTTGCTCCTGTTGTGATGGTGGTCAACGTAAGTTCCTTGAGCTGTATAGCGTTTCTTGATGTTCTAAATAAAAAAGAAACCTTTTTAGACCACAAAAAATGAGAACTTTTCATCAGGCCAAAAATTACAATTTTCCAAAGGGGTTAACCTGTTTTTTGTCAAAATAAGCTAACAAGTGAGTTCCTTGGTTTTCTAAACAAAAAAGAGGCCTTTTTAGACCACAAAAATGGGAACCTTTCATAAGGCCAAAAATCCCAATTTTCCAAAAGGGTTAACCCACGATTTTTGCCAAAAAATTCAAATTTTTTCTTTTGTTTTTCGCCAAAATAATCTTAAAAATAGAGTTTCGTCATGTTCTAAATAAAAAGGTAACATTTTTAGACCACAAAAATGCTCACTTTTCATATGCATAAGGCCAAACATCGCAATTCTCCAAAAGGGTTAACCCACGATTTTAGTCCAAAAAAGTTGCAAAAAATTGTATTTGATTTTTCGTAACTGAAATACGCTTTAAAAAAGTGTCTTCATGTTCCAAACAAAAAAGAAACCTTTTTAGACCACAAAATAGGATCTTTTTATAAGGCCTAAATTGGCAATTTTCCAAAGGGTTTAACCCACGATTTGGTAAAAAATATCTAAAATTTTTCTTTGTTTGTTTTTTGCCAAAAAAAAGCTTTAAAATAGAGTTTCTTGATGTCCTAAATACAAAGGAAACCTTTTTAGGCTACAAAAATAGGAACTTTTCATAAGGCCAAATATCGCAATTTTCCGAAGGGGTTAACCCACGATTTTGGTCAAAAAATTCCAAAAAATTTGTCTTTGCTTTTTCTCAAAATACGCTTAAAAAAGAGTTTCTTTATGTTCTGAACAAAACAGAAACCTTTTTAGACAGCAAAAATGGGATTTTTTCATAAGGCCAAAAATCGCAATTTTTCAGAGGGTTAACCAGCGATTTTAGTCCAAAAAAATTCCACACCATTTTTATTTGCTTTTTCTCAAAATACCCTTAAAATAGAGTTTCTTTATGTTCTAAACAAAAAAAAAAAAACATTTTTAGACCCTGACAATAGTGGGATCTTTTCATAAGGCCAAAAACCGCAATTTTCAAAAGGGGTTAGCCCACGACTTTTGTCAAAAATTTAAAATTTTTCATTGTTTATTTTTTATTTAAAAAAAAGCTTGAAAATAGAGTTTCTTGATGTTATAAATAAAAAGGAAACCTCTTTAGACCACAAAAATGGGACGTTTTCATAAGGCCAAAAATCCCAATTTTTCAAAGAGGTTCTACATAAAAAAGAAACCTTTTAAACTTTGTTCGACTATAAAAAATGGGAACCTGTCATAAGGTCAAAAATCCCAATTTTCGAACTGGTTAACCCATGATTTTGGTCAGAAATTTCCAATTTTTTTAAAAAGTTAATTTAGAATGGCGACTTTGTAAAATCGATATTTTTATTGTCTAAAAAGACTCTTATTAAAGTGGAACATTGCCAAACGTTTCTTAGGGGCTATCTTACCCAAAAACAGAAGAGCAAGAAATTTTAAATTTTTGCCGAAATCACAACTTATTTTAAAACCCCTTTAAAAGGATCCAATGTGACCATTCGATATTTTTATAGTCTGGCCAGGCTTGTTTTCGATTCTATTTAAAACATAAACCACTTTATTTCTAGACTTTCTAGGCTTTTTATCATGTAGCTCAAATACAAGAAGTAAAAAAAAGGATTTCACCTTTTTTTCGCGGACAGACTTCAGACCTCAGATTTTTTCAAGCATATTTCCGTAATAAATGCTTTGCGGTCGTAGGACGAACACATATTTTTCTTACACGAAGTACATAGCGAGGTTTACCAACATGGCGGCCTCGAAGCTCGAAATCAATTTCCGTCGTCTTTTGGAACGCTGCGAAGCGATGGCCTCAGAAATCCAGGAGAATAAAGAAAACGTAAGCTGGAGGTTGGAAAAAGTGAGTCATAGCATTCATCAAAAAATTGTTTTCTACTGTTTGTAACGATTTTTCACCGTTTTTCTACTCCATATTGCAGTATGTTTTAACGTTACAGAGGCAAGCTGCCGAACTAAAAAAGTCAGAAAGGTTAGTTTTTAAATGCAGACTAATAAGATAAAAGTTAAACGAGCAATACGTCAATGTAAAATAGTGCTTTTAAATAACAAGCTTAAAACAGCTGATACAGGTAGTCTTTACTCTGACTGGTCTTTATGTCGGGTCGATTGTATTTATTATTAATATTTTAGTCATCACATTAGAGCTTTTTCATCAGTACCTGACCCAGTTAAATAACGGAGAAAAAAGCCTTGTCGTATTAAAGGAAAGAATTCAACGTCTTGGTATACCGACAATGGACATACATGTAGGTACAGTAGTTCATCATTTAATTTTCGTACCCCAATAAGGCGGACCGAAGTATACCTGTATCGTACAAACGCGCTTTAATGATCTAATCTGTATCAACTAATCTGGCAATAGAAGCCAGACCCACATGCACATTTCTCCTGTTACTGTATGTGTGTAGTAACTGTTAAACTTTCATCAAATAAAAGTGAACGTCTCTTTTACAGTGCAGTAAGTAAGTAAGGTTATCCATAACCTGGATAACAGGGGACTCCAGCCTTGAAAATAACTTTTTTTTGACCCTGTTGGCTTCAGTTTGGTGTAAAATCAAGGTGGGGGCTCTCACCCCTTGGCACCTTCTCCTAGATGCACCAGTGTTTAGCCTGCAATCAAACTGTCAATAAAGAAAGAAACTCACTGGTGTCGTTGTAGATTCACTTTTTTCTTATTACATTTACTAGCTATGTGATAGAAACCACTGTTAAGTGGACATTCATAGTTGACTGATCTATGAGGTTCATTTGTCTATCAGTAGCGTAGACATTTCCCGTTGGTTGTCTGTATGTCAGTTTTTCAACATTCTGAAAGGCAGATGACTTGTGTCTCTAACGTACTGTAGACATCAGTGGTCAGGGATGTAGATAATAGCTGGGAGCTGGGAAAAATACATGGCTGTCAACATAATTTTTCAGGCTGAAAAAAATGCATTCTTTAAAAAGGCAACTGTTTTCCTCTTATATTATCTGCCCATCAAATGCCATTTCCCATCGGTTATAAATTTAAGCTACATCCCTGGTGGTTGGCTGGTATCAGCTTCCGAGTTTCACTTTTTTGTCACTCTGTAGCTAAACTTTCTTCAATTCAGAGTAAACATTCTTATGGTGAAAAAAACTCTAATGAAGATTCTGGAGGTTGGCTGATTTTTCACATCACCAATAAGTTAGTGTAGCTAGCATTTCAGGCCATGCCTCTTATGATTAAAGAAGTGTACCTTTTCAAAAACTGGGAAATCAAAATATTTTGGTTCCATAAGCTTGTTGAGTCACATGTAACATACATTTTTTGAAATAATCAAAAGGTTAAATTTTAAGTTTTTTTCCCCATTTACTTGAAGTAATCAAAACATTAAAATAATATTAAGTATGTTTTATCTTGTTACAGCAAACCAAGTCCAGATGCAATGACTGAATACAACAAGAAAGTAGAATTCCTTAAAGGTTTAATAGAAACACAGAAAATGGTGAGACAGGGATCAGTGTTTTGAAACCTTATTTTGATTATAGCTCCGAAGTCTGGGGATGTATGGGAAAAGGCCTGTGTGACCGACTCCAGAGATTGCAAAATAGGGCTGGGAGAATTATAACATTTAGTGATTATAATACAAGATCTGCAGATATCCTCCAAGACTTGAGATGGGATACCCTTGAGCAAAGACAGTCTAAACAGCTCGCAATAAGTGTTTTTAAATCTCTTTACCCTGAGAGTTTAAAGAACATGTTTAAACCAACCTCCGGGGTTCATTCCTACAACGTGCGAGGTGCCTCGAGCAACATTTTTGTACCAAGGCCCCGTACTGAAGCTGCTAAGAGGGCCTTTAGCTATAGGGGAGCAGTCATGTGGAATGGCCTAGAAAATGTGCTTAAAGACGAGATAAATCTCAACTCTTTCAAGTCTGCCCTATCTTTGTCTTGAACCAGGGATTGCCTTGAGGGAGTTGAGATAGAATTTTATTTTTGTTATTTAATGTACCTTTAAGGTTGATTGATTTTTGTGTAATTAATTATAGAATAGATTTTCTTAATATATAGATATATTTTAGCATTAATGTAGTTTCTCTGAAAATTTTGTTATGTAAACGGCTCACTGGAAGAGCATTTTTAATGAAGTGATACCGTTAATAAAGCTTTATTGATTGATTGATTTGATTGATCTTAAGATGCGCATCTGTTGTTACATTCAAATAGAAAAAATTATTGTTTGGGAACAACTAGGAAATGCTTGTCATCAGAGAATGTATAACAATACATTGTATATCATTTGTGTGTTAAGTATTTTACCGTTGGTTGCATCTAAGCGTGGACATGACGTGTTTTGCTGCCAAACATTTGAAGTTTGACAGTTGTTAAAGCAAACTATCACGCCAAAGGTAAGTTGTTTACATGGTCTTGATTGCTGCGTTACGCTCATATTCAATTTACGTTTACACATGACCTTCCAAACATTGTCAGTGTTTTATTTAAGTGCATATGCACGTAAAAATTACAGGACAGTGGAAGTCCACCATCAGTCATAAGGGGAAAATCCAGGCACCCTTCAATTTCTACTGGCTCTGAAAATACCATGATAATTTAGGTTTGTTAGAAACTCTCAAATTCTCCTTTCCAAAGGTTTGTTCCCTTTAAATTTCTATTGCAGTTGAATACAAGTGTAGATCCATGTAAAATAAGACTTAGCTTCACTTTGTTTTGTAGAAATCACCAACAGATAAACTTCTCGCAAGTCGGCAGTTAGTGCGTCCACTGAGTCAAACATCCAATGCACAGACCACAGAGGGAGACAAAGGACAAACAGTAAACAGAGCACAAGAACTTCACATCAGGGCCAAGTCACAGATTAATAAAGAGATGAGAAGTGAACTTCTGGGAGAAGGTAGGAATAATGCAGCTAAAAATATTTCACTTCTGATACAATGCACCTGTAAGTTAGTTTATTTGATATTTATTTTTGTTGATTTTTGTAAGGATCATGCACATTACTGGCTTATTACATTCCTCGTCACATGACAAAGGTTTTCTTAGCCCAATATTTTCACAAAACTAAGGACTTTCAGGGCACGTTACGGTGGCACATTCATTTTGCCTTGTTTCTGGTCATTTTCTGACATGAAATACTTTGGTTTTTTAAAAGTAAATTGAATGATAAATTTAATTAATATATTAGTGTTAAAAGTTAACAAGGAACCTTGCTTATTTTCCAGACAATAAGAGAGACAGTCATGGAGTGCGAAAGAGGTGACTGATTGTAATTATTTCACTTGCATATTACTAGTTTTGTCCCTAAGTGGCTGTAACAAATAACTCTTTATTCTCAAATCCCCCATAATCACTCTATTTGCTTCCAATGCAACACTTGGCATAAACTATACTCTTCAAATGCTCCTGGGAGAACTGTGTAATTCCAAGGGCTTTTGAGAACAAAAACTTTATTTATACGCAAAGCCTCAATCGGTGATAAAATTGTTGAGACATTGTACTCAAATAGGGTAACCTCACAAATAGGGTAACTACACAATTCAAAGTCGGGGTGTTTGTTGTTTTCTGTACGTAGCTGGAACAGCAGCAAAACATTGCATGGAGGGGATGGGGGAGGAAAAACTTTATTTTCACCTTTTGAAGTCAGTAAAACCTCAGAAAGCCCCTTTAGGACAAAGTGTCTCAACTAATTTTGTCACCAATTGTAGGGAGGGAAACAGTGTGTATTATGTGGAAACTCCACAAATAAAAGTCAATGGAAACAAATCCCCGATAGCAAGTCAGTATGACTTTTTAAGTATGCACTGGTGTCAACTTAATATTTTCTGCATCATGAATTGTTGGTCAGTGTTGAACAATCTGCCTTTTATAGCCTGTGTTCCAGCTCCTTCCCACACATTGTCTAAACCATCAGAGTGTGTTCCATTTGAATGATCCAAATAAGGATCAGTGACTTGTGATCGCTCAGAATACAGCACATCAAAGGAACCAATGAATCAACCCTGGAAAAGGATTCATCAATTCACTTGATGTACCATTGCATGGTTTCAAATCGAGAGGTGCTGGATATGAGTCGGTTTATCATGGGCTAACAACACGAGACCTATATAGACAGAAAGACCGAATTAGCAACATTCTCAAGTTTGGTGTTTATCGGGCCTATATTGAATGATATAAATAGACGTACAGACGATGTGACCGGCAATCCATACATGTACATCGATCCCTTATAAAAGTGATTTTCAAGTTTACAGATAGCTGTATCTTGCTTGATATTGGCCCAATCGACACCACACTTTCATAACCTCAATGTGCTTTTTCTGACCATGTGGACCTCATGTTGTTTATCTCATAATAAACTGACTTGTACCGAGCCCCTCTCGATTTGAAACTAGGTAATGGCCGAGTGATCTCTGACCTGGATCATCCCAAAGGAACTCACCCTTAGTCCATACAGGCTGTACATGTAGTGTCTGCCATGCAGGCTACTTGTTTTTGACAATCTTTTTTCTTGAAGATTAACAGGCAACAAGAAAAGTGATGCAAATGATGAAAGCATTGACTCAGTTCTTCAATACCATCAGAACTTACAAGAAAATATAGCAGAGGAAATGATAAAAATGGCTCAGCATATAAAACATACATCTGTCATGGCCAGCAACATTATTAAAGAAGATAACAAGGTTACTAGGATGTTTGTCCTTCAATAACAGTAAATAACAAATTATTGGATGAGGTCTTTTCCTGACACCTGAAACAGAGTAGGTCAAGTAAAATTAATGTTATTGGCTGAAGCTGATAACTCTTACTGAGACTTTGATTATTGCGAATACCGTATTTCCTTGAATACTAGCCATCCCTCAAATAATCGCCTCCCTCAAATAATCACCCCCCTTTGATGGAAATGTTTAAAATAATCGCCTCCCCCACCTCTATAGGTTACCCACTAGGGATCATGTTAGCCATTGTGGAACTTGGAGGATGGAGCTAAAGTGGAGTCTGATTCAGCAAAACTGATCAGTGATGATTCACGCTCTGATGCCACAGAAATTGACAGCAAAAATTAATCAACACTTTAAATGCCAATGTTATTTTGTCTGATGTGATCATTTTTTTTATTTTATGGGAAAATAGAACAAATATTAAGGGCAAGACGTCTAGTCAGCAATATTTGAAATAGTCACCTCCCTCGAATAATCGTCCCCTTTTGGTGCGAAAAAAGAAATAATCGCCCCCAGCTATTATTCAAGGAAATACGGTATCCCAAAAACCAAATCCAATAAGAATTGTTTTATTATCCACGGTTGTGAGGAAGATAGTGTTATGATAAACACATTGTCCTTGAATACAAAGCTTTGTGCACACAATTTCAAGGCTGTCATAAATAATTATGATCAGCTACCAAGGTGACCCCTGGCCTACTGTTATAAATTTAATAGAAATATAAAAATAAAACCAAAAGAAATCTGTACCTGTTTGATTCCCTGCTTGCTTGTTTCCTGCAACTTGAAATCTTACTGACAGCCATATAAATTTGTATCACTAAGTTTCTTTACTATTGTAGAGACGAATTACCCAAATTTTGGGCAAAACCACTGCCAAGAATGCAAAAAGTCCACTTTTGGTTGACGTGCATTATTCCAAACAATGTTGTTTAAAAGCTACGGTAACATGGTTTTTCAGAATTGTTGATGTGGACTTAAGTTAAGGCTTTAAAACGGCTCCTATAAAGGATAATGCCTGAGCCCGAAGGCCTTGTTAAAAATGATGACCGAGCGCCCGAGGTCATTATTTTTAACAAGGCCTTGGGCGAAGGGGTATTGTTTTAATGTACTTTTCCATTGTTTTACAACCAGCAAGTCATAATTAGGGTCTCTTGTTCCAACTCAGTGACCTAGGCTTTAATTTTTTAAAAATAATAACTAATGTTCAAAACAAATAGAAATGCGCATTAATAACAAGGAAGGCATATTTACAAATTGGTCATTTGATGAAGCTCCATGTACAGATAACAGAGTGTGAGATAAACTTTAAAAAACTTACAGTTAAATTTTCTGTTCTGTTTTTTAGACCTTGGAGCAGTCAACAAAGCTTGCAGATTCAAATTTTGAGAAACTAAAACGAGAATCAGAAAGACTTGAGGAATTAACACAGACACCATGTTCCTGGTGGATTTGGATTATGATAATTACAGTCTGTATTGTGTTTATGTGGATGATCATATTTATTAGACTTTTCCCAAAGAAGTGATATAGTGATAACCTTAAAGCAGAACTCTTCAAACAAAAAAGGTTCCAAGAACGTACAAGATTACAATTATTATTTGACAATAATATGCAATAAAACAACTATAAAGAAGACTGTTTCAGCTTAGTGTGTTTAATTTATCAAGAGTTAAAATTCTTCTGGCCCAAGTTGTTCAAAAGGTGGATAATGCAATATTTGTTTCCCAAATACTTATCCACTAGATAGAGATTTATCTGTTGGATAGCACTTTCGAATGTTTGAACCAACAGGGACAGGAAACCACTTAAGTGTCAATGCATTCAGCATGAAAGTACTAATAAAGGCCGATATTTTTATATCTCCTACTGGAGACATGACTGCATTGCCATTTTACTTGGTCATCTGAGCCACACAAAGGTCTAGCCTTCTGAATGGCAAAGGTGGTACCTTCAATTCTCAGTTAATTTTAATCCCTGGGTATTAGTCAGGGCACCTGGGAATCAAACCTGTGAAGCTCCTGCAATAAAGCACTTTAGCAACTAAGGGTGATTCCAAAAGTCAATACTGGGCGGCTGAACCATGATCGGACTAGTCAGTTTGAAAATGAAATCGGCTTTTTCAAAGAGTGTGTGCTGAAAACTGTCTCTTTAATGCAAACTATTCAGGATATGACTCACTTATCTAGCTGGATAGTTTTGATTAAAAGTAAAATTCTCTTTATGATAGGAATGGTCTGGCCGGTCAGTTCTGACAAATAGAAAGCATTCTAAGTTAGTATTAAAACAAAGAAAATTAAACCTAAGGATAAATGAGGCTGAGGGAGGGGAAGGCCAAAGAGTTAAGTAAGGAGGGGGGAGGGTAGAAAAGTAAGAGGGTGGAGGGGTGAGGCAAGGATAAGGGATGGAAGAGAGGGTTGAATAATATTATTGCACAGATTAGCCATACATCCATACTCTTCCAAATGTATGACAACTGTCTTGCAATCCCTAAATGGAAAATGACTGAGTTGAGATCACCCTCTACCATCCGAAAGTTGATGTATAAAAAATCTACTATATTCCTGCTGCCTTTACAGCATTATTAACTCAGGTAAATGTACGTCAATAAATTTTAAAATTTATTTACACTGTAGACCTTTACTATGTTGTCCACTGAAAGGAGTAAATTAATTACCCAGCCAATTCACTTTACAGTTTCAAATACAGAATGCAACTTGCAAGTCTCATCTCTCATTTTAATACACGTCCTTATTCACTATGGAACTTAATGTCAGGGAAAGAATTTACTTGTAAATGACGAAATCACGGCTTTGTGTCAAACAAATATAGACGTCTCCAAAGCAACAACAATTCACAACAAAAAGAAACTTTACAGTTGCTTGTTTTCTTTCCTCGCTTTGCCTTTTCATTTCCAGGTGTTACACGTTCTGAGCGTGCACTTGCATTCTTCACTTGTTCTGTTTTCTCTGGGTGAAGTACATACACTGGTATATAGTACTTGTCTGAATTAACAATATTCTAAGGGTTGCTGAACATTGAATTCCCTTAAGGGAGGTTGTATCACTATGTACAGAAATAGAATAAGAAGAAGATTCAGCGTAAAAATAGGATTAAGATAAGACGTCAACTCACATGAAGTTCACCTGAAAAACAACGCTCTCATGTGTAAACACGAAGTTAAGTCACACTTAAATAGATCCTAAAAAAGATTAACTACAATTTCCACGCGGCTTCCAAAGTAAAAAATGCATACGTTGTGGCTTAAAATGAAAAAACAAGAAAGTCAAAAGAGTATTAAGCTTCAGTCTCAGTTAAAATTGTTGGGACACTTAGCTGTCTTCTTGCCGTCCCAATGTTGCTGTGCCAGATTTGGTGAGTTAACTGCGATAAACAACATTGGGAGGACAAGGAGACGGGCAAAAACTGAAAAAACAGCGTTGGGTGGAAGTGTCCCAAGTATTTTTGTTGAGACTGTAGTTATAAACTATTTCCCTTATTTATTGAGGCTATATTCACACTTTTCCGATAGCTCTTGTGCCGACACGAAAGAACACATGTTCACACATAACCGTGAGTATAATGAGTATAATGTCATGACGCTTTTGAACCTTATTTTACTCTCCATAGAAAGTTACAGCGAGCTCAAATGTGGATAATGATCGGTATTTTAACCGAAGTTTGCTTAAGTCATATATACGACTTTTGCCTGTTGCGCAATGGTTGTTGACTTGCAATCTCACTGTTTTCAGGGAGGAGCAATTCATCATTAAATAGTCACAAAAACATGGTAACCAGTCTTCACTTACTTCACGACGGATGTTGACTGTCAGATTGAGTTCAGTTAATGAGGTGTTTTCTGAAAAATCATCATCACGTCTACGTGGATAAAACCCGCCATACTGTTTACCTTCACTGTAGTCATTTAGTGTCAGAGTGAGTGTAGTTAGCGACTTGTTTTCCGCTATACAACGTTTTAGAGAGCGTTCTAAAAATGCCCAGCTTGAGAATTCGTAATCACTGACTGTAACAGTGAGGGACACTATTGAATTGTTCAGTGAGAGTCCTTCAATTAAAATCGCTATCGAACCAAAATAATGAAAAAAAGTACGGGTGACGTGGTTAATCGTAATGACCAGTTCCTTTAAAGATGAGGTACTTGGCAGTCCAAACCTGAGACCTTCTAGCCAACTCACAGGTTTTTCTATTGAATCGATCAAGAGGGTGGCATCGTAAGGTTTATATTCAGGTTCAGTGTAGTCGTTGCTTGTAAGGCAGAGTTTTGTTAGTAAATTGCATTCATCTAAACATTTTCTCAGAAATTTACCCCAAAAGTAAGTTAACTTACTACCGTTGATTACGACGGAAAGTGTAGACAAGGACTTCACTGCCATCAAATCTTCTCCAAATTTCTCCTCCCCACCACGATCGTCAATTGAGAGACTAAGTGTAGTTAATGACGCCATTTTAGCCAAGCTGTTGACCAGCGTGCATTCCCAGCCTTCTGCCATGTTACTGTAGTTGCTGATTGTAAGACTTAAGACTGTTAATGAAGAACTTCGCAGCAAACTATCCCCGAGGTATTTCCAAATTCCTGGATTCATTGTGTAGTTGCTCACTGTAAGATCCAGCGTGGTTAGTGATGTGGTACCTGCCAAAGCATCACCTAGCAAACGTGGCCAGTCACTAATTACTTCATCGTCGTTAATTATTTTAAGATTGATCCTCTCCTTTCTGGTATTCTTTACTTCAGAGAACACTGGTGTCAGTGATGCAGAATTGTCAATACAGACATCAAGAGCATTGCACGCTTCCTTAGGAACAACTCTGACGCCGTGCAATTTCAACTGAACAGTTTCGTTGTTTCGTGATAGTTCCTGAAGTACAGTTTTTGTCCCTGAGGTCAAATCGTCCCAAATGTCGATTGTTAGGGAGTGTAATGTATTTTGTCCTCTGGCATATCTTTCAATAATGGTAGCAAAACCATCACTTAATTTTCCATACAATTTCAATGTCAGGCTTGTCAGGGGGGCACGCACCAAGACCTCACATAAAGCTTCTGCTCCATCACATTTCAGCTCTCCCCAAATGACCACAGTTAAGTGTTGTTTTGTTTCCAACCCTTTCTCTACCACAGCAGGACAAAAATAAGCCACTTGATCACATGTAACACTGCTGCCTGGGTCTGGATGAAAAGTACAGCTAACTGACCCCTTCTTTACTGAACGAAGATTTTCCACAACAGACTGCCAGTTGTCAGGAATCTCTCCACGGACAATCAGTACTAAATCGTTTAAAGAACGATTTTCTAGAAGACTGTTTTCTAGGACATTTGCACAAGAGAGACTAAGTCTGCCGTTAACACTAAGATCTAATGACTTGACTGCAGTTTGTCGTGTAATTCCTCTGCTAATAGCGGCAGCTTCCCTTTCTTGTATATCTCCAAAGATATTAAGGGATAATGAGGACAAAGCTTTATTTGATAAGAGCTTTCCTAAACCATAGACCGCAGTATCACTCAATGATCCTCGAACCTGGAGGTCCACAGACTTCAAAGGAGTGTCCGCAGACAAAGCAGGTTCAATAGCACTTGTCCAATTCTCACCCCACACTCTGTCAAGTTGAAGTGTTACTTTGCTCAAGGCTTTACGTGCTGCTAACAATTCACCGATAGCAACTGATGCGTCATAATGGATACTGTCACTCACTTGTAGAGTAAACTCTGATAAAGTCGTGTTTCCAGATAAGCCGTTGTGTAGGGCTTTCGCTACATCTGGTTCCATTGCTGGGATGAAAATGCTTAGAGTCTGAAGCTGCGAGCAGGATTGTATGGACTCTACAACACTCTCATGGCTTAAAGCGCCTACATATGACTCAACAATAGTAAGCTGAACTGGCTTCTGCACATTTGCAAAGGTTTTGCAGGCCTCTAAAACGTGATATATATTGTCTGCCTCGTAATCAAGGCCAATCTTAACATGCGTAGGGAACGGTATGTAGGAACAAAGAGTCTTTGCCATTTTTTCAGCATGTCCACTTTCGCTAAAGCTTTTCGTAAAGAAAGTTGCCGCTTCCCTGCCTTGGTCCTCGTCATCATCCTCATCCATCGTCACTACTCCAGACTGTGTGCAAGTGACCCAGTCCCATTCTCCATTGTTTTTCAGCTCCTCACCAATCTGAGTGAATAGAATGTTTGCATCTCTCCCAAGTATACCAGACACAAAAAGAAACACTTCCCGATACTTTTTCACTAGTTCATGAAACCTTAGATGCTCAAACAACCTTAACTCGTGTCCTCGCAACTTGTGAGAAATAAAGGCAGCAGCCAGGTACTCTTGGAAGGTCTTGTGAAGAAAGTAATACTCATGTTGAGGCTTTATCTTCCTCAAACTTTCCTCCTTGTAAACGAGGCCTACGTGACGGGAAACCAATCCCTTGTATCTTCTTTCAAGCTCGGCTAATTCACTTTCACGAAAGCAATAGCGATCACTCAGCAGACACATCCAAGCTAGTTCTCCAAGTGCAAGAATACTTTCTTCAAATTGCTTCTCTAAAACGTTATTGTCTTGAGGAGCCTCCAGATTGTGTTTAGCGCAATGTCTTCTTAAAAGGCACAGTACAATAACTTGGTAAAGTTCAGAACGGGAAGATGGCAAATTCCCCTCATAGTCCTCATAAATAACACAAAGAAGAAGTAAATTTAAAGGATTATTTCGCAGGGCATGTAACAGAGTGTTTTCTTGTATTTCCTTAATGAGACTTTCTCCCTTTGGTGAATGCAAAGGATCAACATTTTTAAAATGTTTTCTGATATACTCAAAAGCATCACTTTCTGTGAATCCTTTAATCTCCAAAAGGATATCGAAGCAATATTTTCGTCGTACATCAATTCCCCTTTCTTGTCGGGAGGTAGCCAACACATAACAAAATGACAAAATTCTTCTTTGAAGCAGTTTATCTACAAATTGTTCCGACCCTTGGGGAAGCTCATCCAAACCGTCCAAAATGATTAAAGTTTTCTCCTGGTTATGAATGTCCTTAATGAAGTCAAACAGCCGCTCTTTGGTCCTCTCCTCTGTATCTTCTGGCAACAGTTGTTCACTGATGGTTTCCATTATATCTTTATGTATATCTCGACATTTCAAAAGCAACATCAGCTCGAATTTGGGAAAACAACACTCCGCGGGGATTTTTCCATGTGCCCAGTCATACGCAAGTTTAAGGCAAAACGTAGTTTTACCGATTCCTGGACTTCCTTCTACTAGCGTCATAACATCCTCACCTTTATCAAGAGCTGTGAAGATGTCGAACACATTCACCTCGTTGTCGTGTACCCGGAAGTCTGCTTTTCGCCTTGAGACGATTTTAAGTCTCGTGTAGACGTCATACAGTGGCAACTCAAAAGTGCTATCCCAGAAAAGTGGTCTTAAATGAGAGCGCCTTTTGTATTCAGCTTTGAGAAACTTCACAACAACTGAGATGAACCAACCTGCTGGAAACAAGAAGACCGGGAAATAATGGTCAGGATTTCACACTAACAACGTGTTAATTTGTAAAATGTGTCCTCTCATTATTTGATCAGTAGAATGCCCGAAATTTCTCTTTATCGTCAGAGCACTTTTGAGTAAATAATTTAGAATAAATAATGCTACTTTGAAATCTTTACTGTCGTCCCTTAATTAACATTTTCCCTTTCTTCACGGAGCCACGGAGAAACTATCTTCTTTGACATTTTGGAGTGAAATCAATTCTAAGCAGCCGCCACACTTATATGAAAAATACTTTCTTTGAAAATTCTGTCACTTTAATGATTTGGCTCTTATTGGTTTTCCATTAACGTGTTTACATGTAGGTAAACGTAATAAATCTCAAAACGGTTTTGTTTTTCAGTCTCGAAAGAGATAATAAACTTCAGATGAAAAATTGCTTTACTAAAAACAAGCAAATAAACGAAAAGGAAACATTTTTCCGCTTCACAGTCTCTTAGTGATGCACAAAAAAAAAAAAAAAAAAAAAAAAAAAAAAATTTCCCATCGGCTTTTCCTTAAAGTTGTTTAATTGAAGAAAAACGTAAAAATTCACAAACCGGTTTTGTTTTCCTATCTAGAAAGAAATAATAAACTTAAGTGAAAAAATTTGTTAACCAAAAAAAAGAAAAAAAACGAAAAGGAAAATTTTTCCCGCTTCAAAGCCTCTTAGTTAGGAACAAAAAAAAAAAAAAAAAAGCGGTTAGGAACTAAACTCTTCACTATCAAAAATTCTTAACTCTTTAGGTTGAAGCTTGAGAGTGTTATTAAGCTTGTTAGAAATTAGGAAAGCGAGTCAAACGTGAGAAGCGTACAATTTGCTCCAAGCACGAGTGACAGCGACTCAAGCCTCGTGAGTGAGTGACCTGAAGCAGAGCGAGCGGGCATTACAAAGCCTCAATCAATGAACACAAAATCATCCACTCTGTGTTACTTCAGATGCAGTTTATGCTAATAGTCCTACAATATACGGTCCTAGCAATGTACAGGATGTTTGTCACATGAACCTAGTTTAGTGGCCTTAGCTCCTACGAGTCTTCTGTAGCTCAGTGGTAGAACATCTGGACCAGTAACCAGATGGTCATAGGTTCGATTAATTGAAATTGAGCAAAAACAAACCTTACCTTCATCTTTCAGTAGCCTTGGGTATTTCGGAGCTGGAATGTTACTTGAAGATAACAGCCTTTTGCCTTTCTTGGAAGACTGACGTTTCTTTGTCGAGCCTAAAATCCAATCAAATACTGTTTTTGTATTCTCCCCAATATTATAATAACCTTTACCCACATACATTGAGAATCAATCTTTATATCCATTATATTTGCAATTTTTTAAAATAAAACATTGCATGAACTAAACGTCGCCATTCTATTAAAGAAGCTTGAAAAAGGCCTATCCGGCATTTGAGCCCTGAATTTTGTAATTTCCAGACGCTGCAAAGCTCTGTTGAATTGAACTAATCAAACAAAAATACAGGACAGGTCAATTTATAGCTTTCCGCGCAGACCTTCTTAGGGGTTCGTCACGCGTTCCTGTCCCACTGGGGCAGGAACGCGTGACGAACCCCTAAGAACGTCAGCGCGGAAGGCTAGTCAATTTTGCAATTAAGACAGTCTTGGATTCTGGTTTCCATGCTGTGGATTCTGGACTCCAGGTAATGAATTTAGGATTCCAATCGTTAAATTCCAAGGCCCAGGATTCTGGATTCCACGAAACCAAATTCCTGAATTCCAGATTCGACAAGCAAAAGTTTCCCGGATTCTGAAATCCAGATAATCATTGGACGATCAATAGTCCTCTTTAGCTTGTACGTTTTGTTTTCCCAGAGGTCCCAGGGGAACTTGACCCTTTGCTTCTTTTTATGCGTAGATACAAGTATGCACGTGAACAAGATGTAATTTGAAAGAAACAGTTCTCTAGAGTATTAACACATGACCTGCATTGGGAAAACAATACCTACAAGCTAAAGAGGTCTATTGTTACTTATCACCTCTACACCACGGCAATGGTCAGCATTTAGAAGTCCCAAGCTGAAAATTTCACTTAGAATAACCCATACAAAACCACCAAGCCTCTATGATAAAATGAAATTCCTTATGCTGTGTCCCATTACCCTACAGCTGTATTTGAGTATAACTTGTCGGCATCTCACGTTGTTAACCTGTAACCAGTGTGAAAACGTTTTGACCTTGCAAGTCAGTCTTAAATATTTAAGTCTTGTTCAATACTTCAACCATTCCTTGGTTATTTAAACTCCCTACAAGGAATAATCATTAAGCCCAAATTAGACTTATACTGTAAGTACATCTACCAGACCTTCCTACATAAAAACAATGAACTGCTCTTAGGGACATATTGCTCATGATTCTAATAGGATTCAAGTGTACCTTTCTGAAGACGTTTTCCAGAGGAAGAGGGCTTTTCATCTTGACAGATCACAGCGGCTTCCTCAGATAAATTCTGCTCATCTGCATTGGAACCTACAAAAGAATATCGATACAATTATTTACTTCCGAGCCTCAGGGTTGGGAATAAGACGTCAAGAAAAATCTTAAATATGTGTTCCTTCAATGTTATCGCGATTTTTTTTACAACTCCCACAATTTGCCAAATGTAGGCGGATTTCTCTGTTGGAGCTACTAAAAGAGATAGTCAAATTTTACGTTGTGAGGTCTTCACTTCTGTTGTCATCGTAATTACGTGAACTTACATTTCCTAATGCCAGCAATACACAATATCAAGACCAATTTGAATTACAAAGTGAACCTGTTACCTTGAGAAATGACAAGCATTCGTTCCACAAGTCTATTACAGTGATCCTGCCAGCTGTACATCTTTGCATATTGTTCTCGAATAATCTCGATCTCCAAAAGTCTCAAGTTTCGGTCTTTCTCACGAACAGCTTTGATTGCCTTGGCCCAATCTCTAGGATCTTCTGACTCTATCACACAGCTCGAAGCAAAAGGTACTTTCTTCAAAGCTTCTCCAAGACCAGAGTTTCCACTGACCAGCACAGGCAGACCAGCAGATAAAGCTTCAAGGGCAGCCAACCCGAATCCCTCGGTCCGTGATGGCATTATAGCAAGGTCTACTTCAGAAAATAACTGGGCCAACTGCTCTCTGCTTTCATTAAACCGACGCACGGTTAGTTGAGTAGGACCAATGCCTTGCTCGACTAACTTTTTTGCTACTTTCTCTTCTTCCCCCCGTGTTGCTCCAACAAACACAAGTTTGTAGGTCATGTCTTTCAACTCAGCAATGGCTTGGGCAGCAACATCATATCCCTTCAGCCGGAAATCTTCATTGTCACCACGTCCAAAGACCAAAACATTGAATGCCTTTCTTTCTTCAGTGGCTTGGTTTACATCTGCAAACTCAGAGAAAATTCCTGGGGTAAAATTAAGAACATCTTGATCTTTCCCACAAGGACGCAGATAACCTGAGAATACTTCAGCCAGCTTGGGTCCAACTGCTGCAACTTGATCAGCTAATTTACAGAGTTCAACCTCAACCTGGTGTTTGTCCTCACCCCTGGAAATGTGCTCTTCATATTCTTTGTACATTCCAAGTTGCTCTGGAGCGGTATGAACGATCTGAATCCACTTGCAATGATGGTGGTGTTTTATAATCTGCACTTGCCGACCAAGAACAGCCCCGTGTCCTATCACACAATCCACAACATGGTCTTTTGGCAGACAAGACAACCATAGTTCTGGTTCTAGACCTGGCCTTTTTTCTGCTAAAACGATTTGGACATTATGACTTGCAGCGACTTGTTTATCTTCTTCACTACACTGAGGGAGATAAACGGTGACCTCCACGCTGGGGTGTTTAGCCAACTGAATGGCCAGTTCTCGGTTGATGGTTGACAAGCCTCCTTTTGTTGATCTCCATTCACTGCTTAACAGAGTTACTCTCAGTTTACTGGAGGAGGTGGATCCTGAATGGCTTTCGTGGTCTTCCTGTGATGTAGAGGCTGTGTTAGGAAAGGATGACAAATCCTAAAGAAGAGTAACATTAAGACGCATTACTAAATTAATACAAACTGTAATTACACAATGTAAGTTAAAAAACTCAAGGATAATAATTATTGTCTTTCATGTAAATTTGACTGAGATGAGGTACTTTGCTAAGAGTGTCTTGACAACGCCTTTCTGCATCTGCTTAGACTGTTGTAGCACACTGATAGGTGAGGACTGTACATATATCAATTACCCACATAATTTCTTGAGTCCAGGGGTGGGGAATGGGGGGGGGGGTCAGCAAGTTTAGTTGTTCATTTTCAACATTCCAAAAGATGTACCTAAAACAAGCTAAAGGGCCTGCAAAGCAATGGTGAAGCATAAAGCACCATGGAGCGAATATTACAACTCCACCCCCACCCCCTCTCCTCTTAATGGATTGGATGGTAGTCTACCCCCGTGGACAAGAGAGGTAGCTAAAACAAGCCAAAGAGCCTGCACAGCAAGAGCTCATCTTGATTGGAGAAGTGTGAAGCAACATGAAAGGAATATAACGACTCCACCCCTTCCCCCTCCTTGGGTTGGATGATAGTCCACTCCCATGCGTGGATGGGAGAGATACTTATAACAAGCCAAAGGGCCTGCACAGTAAGCTAGGGTGTATCTTGATTGGAGAAGCATGAAGCACCATGGAGTATCAGAACTCCACACATCCCCCTAACCCCCATGAAATGGGATGCTTAAGTCCACCACTAAGCCCGGTTAGGTACATTATGCCAGCATAATTTTGGGCATAATGCTATAGTTGGTGCATCAATTAATACCAGAATAATGGCCACTTTTCAGCGTAAAGAGAATGATAATATAAAAATGATAATAATAATTATTACCACAACTGTACTGAGACATTTTTACTTTCAAGTGCTTTTAGTGATTTGCTACTTTCAATGTGTTGTTGCACTGTTGCATCACTTTGTTTGGCTGCTAAGACTGGCTAATTGTATATTCATCAGTTTGAAATTTGTATTTGATGTAATAAAATGTTGTATTCATATCTGCGGGGATGGAAAATGGCTTCAAATACAGCCAAGATCAGTCAAGCATAATGCTACTTTTCAAGCATAATTTAATTTTAGGCATAATGCTGTTGTTTTAAGGGTAATGCTCAAATTTTCAAGCATAATGTATATAACCCTATCTACCACAGCATTGCCTCCAGCAGTACAGCTGTATGTTGCCATTAAACACAAAACAAATGATCTGGGTGAACGTACATAAATAGAGAAATGTTTCCTTGTCTAAGAAAATCAAGTGGTGGAACAGATACAATGTAACCTGGGCTAAAATCACAACTTCACTGATCCAGAGTCTGACATGATCTGATCATTACTTCTTCACCAACAAATTCAGAACCACAACTCAAACGTTTTTCTCATTAACCTCAAACCTTTCAGGTAGCTCTAAGAGTGAAGATACAATTGGAGCGTTTCCTGAAAAACGGGTGTAATTTGCTTTTGCCATTTGTAATTTGCCATGGATACCTCCTCTCTGCTTATTGCATTTGGCCCTCTACTAGCCTTTAAGGCACCTGCTCCCAAGCTCATCATTAGCGATGAGTTTAATTGATAAGCAAATTATACCTCTTTTCAGAAAACCCTTCAATTGTATTAAGAAAAAGCAACCTTCACTAAACTAATACTATGACTAACAGACAATCAATTTTCTTACCTCCATCAGCCTGGACATCACGGGAATCCTAAAAATCCTTCAACACTGCAGACATCAACACTACAATAAAAACAAAAAAAGAAATGTTGCAATAATTTCAACAACCATTTGACATGTTATTTTTGTTGCAGTTTAATTTTTAATTGTGTGAATGGCGATTATTTTGTATTTTTAATTTGCAAGAACAAACTTTTAGGATTGGTCCAGACTGGTTTTTCTCCGTCTGACTATAAAACTGCTTATTTTTTATTTGAGGACTTTACAGTGTGACCAGGAAAGCCAACACTTGAAATATCTCAGGAATGTTTATTGTGTTATGACCAATCACCGCAAAGATCGATCAAGACACGTGAACTGGCCACAAAACCACAAACTAATTAACGACCTTGCTTGCTGATCAGTTTTCTCACGCCTGATTGGCTATTTTCTTGGAACACAACAACATTCCAGAAATATTCCGTGTGTTCACGGTTTTCCTGGTTTGACTGCAAAACAAAATACAGGTAAGCCAACATTTGCATGTTGTGGGTAAAATCTGTTCTCAAAGTACACCAAAATCTCGTTGTCTCCTCTGATCAATTAGGGCTGGGTATTATAACAGAGAGAACTCTAAACCCAAACTACAATCAGGGACAAAAGTAGTTGACACACTTGTTTAAAACGGGTGCTTTTAACAAACATCTAATTCATCTATTATTTCATTCTTTTTAAACGCCGTAAATCCCCTCACCCCCCGAATCAATGTTGTCTGAAGTAGAAAAAAGACTTGAGGGTCCAAAATTCAACATTGATTTTGGGGGGAAAGGGGTTGGGGTAGACAGGGGAAGGGGATAAGTATATCCACTATGCAAAAAGGGGCCATTTTACGGAAGTGTGTCAACACTTTTGTCCCTCATTGTCTGAAAGCAAAATTGTGCTACTGCACACAAGTTGAGCCGTGCATGACACTGATTTTAACTGAAATTAAAGGAATCAATGACATAATTATGTTATTGGTGGTGGGGGTGACATTGACTTATTCATGACCGAATTATAGGGCCAATTCGAATTACGTGATGACGTAATCAAAGGGCTGCGATATCCAGAATTAACGTCGATATGGTTTACAAGCTAAAAACTGACGCTGAAACTCGCGCACATGTACAACTTTTGATGAATTTCAAGGGTATGCGTACTGAAAATGTTTTTAATAAAGTGAATATTTCTCGTTCTTCACTTTATCCGATTGTTAAGGCGCAAACAATCACGGGTAGGCTAAGGATTGACACGTAGTGGGGATAGTCACTGGCCGGCCAAGGAAATATGGAGCGTTGGTGCGGAGCGGCCGTCACTGCGTTCAATATCGAAACTACGGAAAAGTGAAGGTAAATTCATGGCCAATTCAATAAAAAACTAAGGACAGCGTAGCAAACATTGCAAGTGTCCACGAAAACAATTACTTTCAATCCCACCTCGTGACACCCTGTGTGACATGATAACGCAACTCAAATAGCGTGACATGAGCGCATATGTCTGTGTATTTGGACTGTAATTCTCAAGCGAAACCCTGTGTTTTTGTCTATTGTCGGCAAAGAAAATGAAAAGAGAGCTTTGAAACGTGAACTGGTATTTGACTCTCAAAGAAAACGACAGCTCAAACTGAGGAAAACACTGCTTCCTTCGTGTTGCAACGGTTAACCACGTTTCGGCAAACGGAAAGTAACATTTAAGTCTGTTATGACCTCTTAATGTCGATATGTATTCTCGTGGTTAACCGTTGAAACTCCTTATTTGCACAACATCGCTGGAAGTTTTCTCGCCAAGAATACGTATTGCGAAGTACTTTCTACATAGAGGAATCTTCTTTTGCCTTTTGCGAGGAATTAGCGCATAAAAAAGGAAAATTTTCCAGCGCACGGCCGTCATCGATCACATGTCATCCCGCTTTCCATGTCATCAAGTGAACTTCGGGGCCAAAGTAATTGCTGTTTTGGCGATGATGCAAACTGGTGTGTCTATCTTGAAAACAATTTCTTTGGTTTTCTGTGATTTACGAGCTGGGAAATGAAATAGAGTTGTCCATTCAACATCAATAAAAAAATCATGCCACTGAATAAATGGCAGGCGGTCATCTAAAATCATTACAAAAGTACATTCCTAACCTGTTCGACGCCTACCTACGCTAAAGGTTTGGATCAGTTAGGTTTGAAAAGGTCTCAAAAAAAAACCCACATCCATATATAGGGCATAGCACAAGCGGCTGACCCATCATTTATGAGGTTCATAACCTGTATATTGTTCACGTCCTGTCACTAATGGCACAAGTCAATGTCAAAAACAATACATGTCCCCTCCGTCACTCTGCAGTACTTCATTCGGTTAAGTTAACCATTTACCAGAATAATTTTCGTTGTACCTTAGTGTTTCCATCCTTTTTCCACTATTGATAATACTTTTGAAAATATTACATCCGCTGCAACGGCATTGATCACAACACAAATGATTTCCTCTCGACCCCACAGGGTATCAGGAACGCGCGAGGGAGTACAAGATTAAATAATGACATACGCTTCGTACATTTTACTCTACGTATACTACAAATCAGGACGAAACTTTGCAAATTTTTGTTTCTAGAAAAAACAATTTGGCCCATAGAGTAACGTCATCGCACAAAAATTCAGCAGCGTCAAAAATCTAGCCGGAAAACACAGATACATATTTCAGACAATCAGGGACAAAAGTAGTTGACACACTTGTTTAAAACGGGTGCTTTTAACAAACATCTAATTCATCTATTATTTCATTCTTTTTAAACGCCGTAAATCCCCTCACCCCCCGAATCAATGTTGTCTGAAGTAGAAAAAAGACTTGAGGGTCCAAAATTCAACATTGATTTTGGGGGGAAAGGGGTTGGGGTAGACAGGGGAAGGGGATAAGTATATCCACTATGCAAAAAGGGGCCATTTTACGGAAGTGTGTCAACACTTTTGTCCCTCATTGTAGGTTAAAAACTGGTAAAATCTGTTTTCACTGACAGGTTTTACCAATTTTTTTACTACAGTGGAGGTTATTTTTACTCCCCCCAGTTTTTAACTGGGAGGAGTGAGGAGGGGGGTCACATTTACTCTAAAAAAACATTAAAATTAAAAAACCCAAAATAAAAAGCCACAATGTAAGATATTGATGAAGTAGAGGTACATGTACATTGTAAATTTGCATTACACATAGACAATCTAATTCCTTTTAAAGGTGTATTTTTCAGAATATTAACCTCTCTTCATCCCAAATTTATTTAGCATTAATGCTTTTTTGAATTATGAGTATTTATCCCACAGGTATGCTCACACAAGGAGGGGAGTCCTGGACTTCAATGTCTGGAGGATACTGAGACGTACATTCCCCAGGGGTGAGGGTAGACATCCCTCATTTGGCCAAAATGAGTAGGGTAGGCTGAACAGGGTAGGGTTTGGGGGCACGTCTTAAAGTTCTAAACAGGTTATACATTTTCACTTTTTAATTGTTTGATCACTTGGTGATCTACAGTCTACAAGTGCGATACCAATATTTTTAAAAAAAATCTAATCCTGTGATGTCAGTTTTAGGAAATGGATAAGGGTCATGAAATGAGATTCCTTATTTTAACAAGGTCGGGAAGAGAAGGGTTTTTTTGTTTAAATAGGATGGCAGTACACCCCCACCCAAACTTCCCTTCAGGGTTCCTCCCCTCCCCCACTGCCCACTGCCACAGGGAATTTATTTTAATATTATAAGACCAAACATTTTTTCTGCACTGTAATAAAATTCTGGTTGTGGCAAATTATTAAATAATTCAAAATGTCCTACCAAAGCTTGGTATATGGATCCTTGACCTCTGAAACCCACACATCATGAAATTTGAATTGATCGGTAGCAGTAACCTATATAATAAAATCAAGGCCCATTAGTGTCAAGACAAAGAGCAGTTTTCCCTGAGTTACATATTATTATTGCTTTAGAACCAGAGCTGTTGCACTGCCTGGTTGATGCTATGGTCATTCACTAGTCAATAAACCTCCCCCCCCCCCCTCCAAATGCTCAGCCAAGACATACATGATATTCTATAGCAGGGCATTTGATTAGTGGGCTTTGCAAATGTGACCATCTTCAGGATTTCAAAAAGGAATCTTTTACTATTTGTGTTTGTAACACCTTCCTTGAGTTACTTCAGTTCCATGATGGTTTGTAGCTTCAGGCTTGTATCATGTACAGAGACGTTGATATTCACATTGCCACAATTTAAGCTCACACTCTAATAAGTGGTCTCCCCCAAAAAGGCACCCACATTGTGGGCCACAATATCAAACAAGTCCCCCTCTTAAATAAACTCCCCCTCCACCCTACCCCTTCACTTTCTTAAATAGTAGAGATACAAGGAAAACATGTTTCTATTTCCACTTAATTGATGAGAGAATAACACTGATAATAATGTGATAATAAACATGCAGCCAATACATGTGCATGTGTAAAGTGTGTAATGAGCTTATGGTAAACTTGATTACCTGCAACCATCGTTTTAACAAATGAAAGGCAAAAATATTGAATTAACATTTACATAGATGACATAGTTTTAAGTTGTTTTCCTATTAAAAATTTAGCTAAAATAATTACGTTACAATTTATTGAAAAGAAAACTTAATTTGAATGACCTCTTCCAAATAAGTGCCCTTTCTTTTAGACATAATTTTTGAGTAGAGCCTGGGTGCTTACTTGAGAAAATCAGTAATTTATTTTTTACAAAATGTATATTCCAATGAGTCCACAAGTTACTTCATAATAGTGGAATCCACTGAAAGAACTTCAACAGGTTATGGGAATTTGGCAGTATTAACTCATTCACATCAAATCCACCCATAACCACCCATTATGGATCCACATTCTTTCAAGATTTCCACAGGTGAATGGGTTCACTTAGAGCGCGTGTCTGTGATGAAATGTCATAATCCAACTGCAGATTCAGTGACACTGCAGTGGAAGCAGAGTGAAATAAAAAGTGGGGGGCT